TGATATCTTTGGGACAGAGCTCCTAGAGCTAAGTTCTCCCCATCAGTCTCATTCTTCAAAGTACTTTCTCCTTTCTAATACCTCTGCCTTTTGCTTTTAGCACGCGCGCGCGCGCGCGCACACACACACGCAGACACATGCACATTCATCTGCTTTATCCTGTTTTACAAAAATACAACCAGCGGCCCCACTCTGAGTGACCCTTTCAGATGCAAACACATTTTTTAAAAGGGATTTTTTTGAAACTTCAAAAAAAAAAAAAAGCAGCTCTTTGGTCAGAAGCAGGAAGGTGGGGTGTTCTGGGCAGCTCTGGTTAGCAGCTGGCTTTGGCCAGTTCTTATGGGTAAACAGCAATTTTCCAAACTGGAATGGGTGCTGGGGTTTTCTTTGTGGAGCCAAGAGGTGTGGAGAGCAGTGGTGTTTAGTTAAATTACGGGTCTAGATGCAGAATGTGCAGCCGTGATTTGTGAGAGCCTGAACCCTCCCAACCCCCTGATGTGTGTGTGCACACACACATACACATTCCCGGAGTGCCGCCTGAGACTATAAAAGGAAGGGCATCTGTTTGGAGAGGTGGCTGTCCCCAAGGGCGCTGGGCTCTTGGTGGGTATCTAGTGTCTTAAAGAGTGGAAAGCATTTGCACAAAGTGTTTTCTACAACCCCTCCACCAAAAACTCCATGCAAAGGACATTTAAGCTTCTTTTCCTAATGGATTTTGGATTGAGCCTTCTCTGGAACAGATGGATGGCTCTTCCCATTTGGGGGCACGGTGGGGACCGCCTGGGGCTGCCTGAGCATTTTGGTGCAGTGGCCAGCTTCCCTTACTTTGTGTGGTTAAGTGCTATATGGGCGTGAGGGCTGTGGGTCAGGAAACAGTTACCCAAAGGGCCTGGCGCAGGAAGAAAACACAGGTGGCTCTCTCCACTGTGGGTGGAGAGGACTTTTTATAACACAAAGGACTGTGGAGTCGGGGGACCCGCGGTAACGTGTCCTGCTTGCCGTTTCCGAGGTCAGAAGAGGGTTTAAGCTCTGGGGATGCTTGGGCAATTCCTGGGGCAAGTAGCAGCCAAGATGGAAGGTTTGGGACTAGAGACTCTCCCCAGACACACACACACACATACGCACGCCTGCGCACAGACGTGGACACAGAAACTTTGATAGTATCGATAAGAATTTGAGGACCTCCAGTGAGTCCCACTGGGAGCCTGGACATGACAGCTAGCCCTGCCCCTGTCCTGTCCTCGCCAGCAGCCCTGGAGGTGGAAGGAAACAGGGTAGAACGTGTGATTCTGGAGTCCTCTCTGCCTGCCTCCTGTGTCCCTCTTCGGAGCGCAAGTCATCAAGCCCTGCACTGTCCATTTAGCTGTGATGGCGTCAGGATTCCCAAAGTAACCCCGCCCCCACTTCCTCCAGTGTGCCCTTGGGGTGTAGAGCCCTGTTGCCCCCTGGCCTTGCTCTCCTCTCCCAAAGCCAGGACACTGTTGGATAGCTAACTGAGTGTTGCACATCTTCCCACTGGCCTTTTCACGTCTGGAAGGTTTTGATTAAACCAGTTTCCTTTTAGCATTTGCTGAAGAGTGGGATCACTGTATCTGAGCCCGTTCCTGGAGAGGATGTTTTAGTAAGTTGGACTCTTTGGCATAGTGTCTGGGGCCTAGGATTTCTCATCCTTCTTAAAAAAAAAAAGTACTTTACAGACGTTTTGGGGACGTGTAGATTTATGTCTGGCTGTCTGCCCCAGTGTCTAAGCTCTGGCTTGATAGGTTTATGGCTGTGGAGCAACTGTAGAGAGTGTAAGGGGGGTCTTTCCATTTAACCAGTTACTGGGGAACGAACATTCTGTTGAGTTCTGTTATCTGGGACGAAGACACATTACTCATTTAATTACCTGGGTCCATGTGAACATTTGGAATATAAATAGGGTCTGCTCTATACCCACCTGTCTCTAAACAATGTGTAAATGGCACCATCGGGTTCATTTTATAGAATGCTTCTCCAGAGTTTCTTTAAGTTGAGAATTCCACTAATGCATGTTTGTGGATCACAGTAGCGTGTCTTTATAGATATTTAATTACTTGGCTGGGTTTAAAAAAAAAAAAGGAATGAGAAATCTGAAATGAAACTATTGGGGAGTCTTTGCCCATCTGAAATCACGCAGGAAAGTGGTTTTGAAATTACAGTGGAAGAGAACGGGGCACCCAGACTTGATTTATCAAAGATTTTTGTGTGAAATATCTTTCTGTCACACATTTATTCTGAGCTTGAAGGATGAACGTAGTAATTGACTTTGGATTCAGTTACGGTGACCACTTACCTAACATCTGCCTGGTGTCCTGCTAGACACTTTGGCATATGTTATTTAATTTAGTCCTAATAGGAGCCTTGCATGGTAGGCTAATTATTATATCTCCATTTTATAGTGGATTGAATTCTACATTGTATTGGAATGTAGGCTCCAAGACCTAGCACTTAACATATCTGTTGAATGAATGCCATTAGGAAAGTTAGGGTAGTAAAATTTGGCAGTCAGTGAGTGTCTGGAGAGATTGAAATCTAGAGAGGGACTGATGGAGTTTCACGAGAAGGTGACCTTGTCCTCCAGAGGGACTTACGGAAAGGCTGAGGAGGGAGGTGGACAGTAAGGAGCAGAATAAGATGCCCACTGGTTAATGAGAGGTTCTTGGAGTTGACACTGTAGATGCTGGTGGGATCTTCGTAGCATGTTCTCACGTCCATGATCTCATCTCCTCTCCCGTTCATCTGAAAAGAGACGAAAAGTGGTAAATCACAGCTTTAAACACGTGTGTAATCACTGCATGCCTCTCAGAGCCCATAGGAAGTGTGCAGAATTGCTAGCACAATGTCCTCGTAAAATTGTGCAGCAAGCCCGCTACAGGGGCGCTCCAGGTGGGGCTCTGTCAGTGGGCTGTGGTGGTAAGTGTCCCTCCTGGAAGCTGCCAAACCAAAGCTGGAGCTCCTTGAAGTCTGGGAGCCTCCTTCTGTTCACGGCCATCGTGAGTCCTGATTGATGGGAGTTGGGGGTTAGTTGGGACCAATGCACCCATCTGGGACTGTGCGGTGCAGAGCATGGGGCCAGACCTCAGGGGGGCGCTCCTCAGCACAGCCCACCCGTCCCCACCCAGGGGGCTCTCAGCCAGGGTGCTCCTCAGAGAGGTGGCTTGGTCCTTTGTTCCCTCAGCCAGGGTGTCTCAGCCTGGGGGACAGTGGGGATCCTGGCAGCCACAGCCCCTGTATTTAGGCCTCCCACATCGAATTGTCATGGACACAAATGACATTTTGTGTGTATATGTGTGTGTGTGTGTGTTTAACATTCTCAGCTTCATCTTATTCACTTATTTTTGGGATTTCAGTCATGCTTTTATTTACATGTTCTCATAAAACATTTCCCCTCAGTTTTACTGAGGTGTGAATTGACAAAATTATGAGATATTTAAAGTGTACAAACATTATGATTTGCTAGATGTGTACATCGTGACAGTTTCTCTTGTCAGGTTAAGACTTTGGGCTTTTATTATGTGCAGCCAAATAGGTGAGACCCTGTTCTTATTTAACATTTAAATAAAATTGTTCTTAGTAGCACATTAAAAAAAAAAAAAAACCCAAACTGAAACACACACACAGCCTAGACTCAGTGTTCAGAATAAAATTTATTTTCTTGTTCCACTCTTGGCTCCTGCCCAGGATGTTTGTTTCTGTCTCTGCACCGTTTGTGTCATTTGCTTTAGAACTGTTGGGATTCTGAAACGTGACCACAGCCATTCATTCTTCCCATCGGAGAAGACACTGGGGTCCCACTGGGGTGGGATTCTCTGTGCCTGGTGCCTACTTGGCATTGTGGAGGGAGGGTACCGAGAGGAATCAGGAACTCAGTGTCTGGGGAGGAAGTAAGAAAGATAGGATCACCCATGATTTCTGCACTGGGTGGGAAGAAGTGGGTGCCAGGACAGGCTGGTGGGTATGGTGTTAGGGTTTCAGAAGAGGTGGGGGACAGCTTCTGGATGTGGTGACGGCATAGATAGCTTGTGTTTTGGAGAAGGTCGTTGGATCTTGAGGGATGGTTACGACTTGCTGTGGGAGATCTAGGCACAGAGAGGCGTTCTCGGGAGAAGGGCTTGTATGGATGAAGGGGCAGATCCTGGGGGCTTAGCGGGGCTTGACTGAGTGTAGAGTGAGTCAGGGCGAATGGTGAGGAATCAAGAGGGGAAGGAGAATGAGGTCCGAGCTCGAAGGGTGGCCCCTGTGTGCAGGGCCGGTGTCTGTCAGCTTGGTGTAGACAGCCCATCCATATGTTTGCATGATGTGTGAGTTTCTTGTTCTTTCTTTCTTTCTTTCTCTCTCTCTCTCTTTCTTTCTTTCTTTCTTTCTTTCATCTTTTTTTGATTGATTTATTTATTTGACAGAGAGAGAGAGAGAGATCACAAGCAGGCAGAGAGGCAGGCAGACGGGGGCAGGGGGGAAAGCAGGCTCCCCGCTGAGCAGAGAGCCCAATGCGGGGCTCCATCCCAGGACCCTGAGATCATGACCTGAGCCGAAGGCAGAGGCTTAACCCACCGAGCCACCCAGGCGCCCATGTGTGACTTTCTTATTGACAAATTTTATGGTACTTTCTGGGCAGCAGATTTTTATGCACATGATTCTGTTCTGTTCACATCTCTTAGGTTTAAAATAGCTTTGATGTGCCACTTTTCTCTTTGTGCCAGAAATCAGAATGAAGCTGTGTATGGTGGCTTAGAGGTTCTGAAGTCCGCTCTGTGTCTGTATGAAACCCAGGCTTGCAGGTTGTGGCCCGAAGGCCCGAGATCTCCAGCGTGGCTGTCTCCAGCGCTCTGAGATGTCTAAAAGGCCCGCGCTGTACAGCTCGAATTTATCTGAAATTGCCTTCCTAGAGGAACGTGGAGAGCGGCTTGTTTCCGCGCCTTCGCGAGCGTTGCTTCAGATAACCTGGTTAACCCGTGTCCTCCTCTTGTCGCTTCTTGCAGATGGTCACAAGAACAAAGAAAATATTTGTAGGCGGATTATCTGCGAACACGGTGGTGGAAGACGTGAAGCAGTACTTCGAACAGTTCGGCAAGGTAAGCGGCGCGTGGGGCTGGTGGCCGCCGCGGCCCCTCCGTCTGCCGCAGCTGCGTCCTCAAGAACCTTGTCCTTGCACACCCTTGTCCTTGCCCTGGGTCGTCGAGATCTAAGTGAAATCTGTCAGGAGCTGCTGTGGAAGAGTCCGGCTTGTGGTCGGCGTGGTGCCGCACGTGCCTGCAGGAGCAGACAGAGCGGCCTTTCAGTATGGTGTCGCTGGCATTTGCTGGCCATGTGGGGTCTGGGCTGGGAGCCGGTGGTGCTGGTGGCAGCGGCTGGGGAGGGACGCGGGGCTGTGACTCACAGGACAGGAGCTCCCGCAGAAGCTGCTAGAGGGCTGTGAGTCGGTGCTGGGCGGCATTCTGTGCCTTTCTGGAAGGTGCATTAAGAGAGGAGGCTCCCTGGGGTCCTGCGCTGTTCAGCCTTTCCCTGTCAGATGCCCAAGGAGACTCGGGGAAGATGCTGGGCCTGTACCTGTCAGCGTGTGGGAGACAGGTGTAAAATGGATCCCCTGGGCTCTGTTGCTGAACCAGCCCGGGAGCAACACAGAATACCTCCGGTCAGCCAGGAATCGGAGTGGGAATATGTAGGGGACAGACACAGTCAGCAGATGGACAGTCGGGATATGCCACTGTGGGCAACGTGCTTAATTCAGCCTCTCTCTAACTGGTGAGGAGCTGGTGCCTTGGAAAGCAGCGTTCCTCTGATGGCTGCATGGTCCCCGGGCTCTGACAGGGCAGCTTGGGGCGGGGAGACTGGCCTTTTGGGCCTTGTGTGGTACCTCTCCTCTGGCTGCCATGTCCTAGGAGGCTGGCAGCTGGTTGGCCGCGGTGGCCCTCTGCTTCCTGTCTTCGAGTCGCTGTAGATGTTGTTCTGGGAGTCCAGGTCCAGGTGTGCGAAGGTCCCCCTTGCACAGGTCCGCATCCCTGCTGCTGTCGGGCTGAAATGGTGGTGGTAGGGGGAGGGGGTGGGATGAGATGACACTGCACCTGTTCTGAGCTCTGTCACTCATGTCACCCCTGGTGACATCTATTTTGCTGGGCCTGGGTGCTACCAGGCACTGCTGCCCACTGCCTGGCCTGAAGGCTCTGTGCTTTTATTTGTTTGCTCAAGGTGATGGGCAGCTCAGACCTCATCCCTGGGTGTTTCGAGTTGTAAGCCGTGATGAGGGCCGTGATCACTATGTAGCTTTAAAACGGAGATTTTTCCCATCTGTGGTCATCTCCAATTTGTGTATGGATGGGAGACATGCAACAAAGAGAGACCAGGCTCCTCCAGCCGGGCTTGGCATTCAGCATGGCACTTCACTGCCCTTCCAGGTTGCTTAGGAAAGACGCCCTCCCCATGGCACCGTCTTGCATTGCCAGTTGGGGGTGATTCATTCTGGCCGTTTTTGCAGAACTGCTTAGTGTGTCGGTGACCATGTACTTCTCTTCAAGACTCGCTCAAAGCACAGGTGGGGGGGGTGGGGGGTTTGGTCCCCCGCCCAGCCCCACCCTGCCTGGGGGGAGAGACTGGAAATAATCACAGGAGACAGGCCCAGCTTGTGTCATGGAAGGCTGGCAAGTGTGAGCCCCTTTGCTACAGTTCTGCCTCTAAAACAAGGCCAGGAGCAAACATGAGGTGGGGTTTCTTTATTGAGCCATAACCTGGAATCTTGTGGTCCTATTTGTGGGTGTCAGGGAAGTTGGGCTGTTAGAATATTTCGGACAGGCCGGCACCTGCCGGACCTGTGCTTGCTCCCACTTCCAGGCTTCTATTTGTCTCTCGTTCTCCCTTTCTCTTTCTGTCTTTTTCCGTTAGCACTTACGGCTGGGAGCCGGTGAGCCCGCCGTGGGAAGCTCTGCCAGCTTTGGCCGGGCCCAGGGCCGCAGCTATCCTGGCCCCGAGAAGAGTTGACCCCTTGTCAGGGAGGTAGTCACAGCCCGTCTTCCCTGGTGTGGCCCGCGCTGGGGCTGAAGCTGCTCGGTTAATTTAGCAGTAACATTTGTAGATTCCAGCAGGACGTGTAAACTTATCAGATGTTTTATTAAAGGACTAAGGAGGCTTTTGAATGTATCAAAACCGTAATACACTTCTTAGGGCTTGTTTCGTGCATGTGGTCGGTGCGTTGTCTGGGTCTGTCTTCAGAGGGCTTATATTCCTCCTTGTGCTGGTGGATGGTGTCACGTCTGTGCCCCCGTGGGCAGGGCCCACCACCTCTCAGGATTCTGGTATAATTCACTTGGAACCAGAGCCATCAAAAGAGAGGAGACGTGGGGCGCCTGGGTGGCTCAGTGGGTTAAATCCTCTGCCTTCGGCTCAGGTCATGGTGTCGGGGTCCTGGGATCAAGCCCCACATCAGGCTCTTTGCTCAGTGGGGAGCCCGCTTCCCTCTCTGTCTCTGTTTGCCTCTCTGCCTACTTATGATCTCTGTCAAATGAATTAAAAAAAAAAAAAAAGAGGAGACGTGCTGCGAGGCCCTAAGGCAGCCTCAGCCCAGTGACGCGTCGGCAGACCGCCTCCAGGCTTCAGCAGTTTATATTCTGGTTGAAGAAAACGGAACGCACACACCCCTGTGTCAGCTAGACTCACGTACTTGTACACATTCTCATCTGGAAAGTCGTTAGGGGCCCTTTTTGGTTGGTTAACAGCAAGTTAGCAAGGGGGAATTTTATCAGTGACTACGTACTGCATTAAGTCCTGGGCCAGGCCATTGACTTGTATTATCTCATTTAATTCTTCTCCAGGAGGTTGGTGGGGGTCTTGCATTGTTTTTGCAGCGTGTTAAATGGAGTCTAGGTGGGATTGAGTCTTTGACTTGGGGTCAACCCCTCTCCCCACCATGAAAGGTAGAGCTGGATGCAGGCTTCCCTTCCAGGTTTGTCTGATACCAGAATCTGAACTCTGGGCCCTGTTGCAGCCTCGGATCAGTCCACACGATGGGCTGAGGGTGGGGAGGGTGCAAAAGGAAGGAAGAGACTGTGCTGGTCCACAGGCCAGGGCAGTGCTGGGAACAGACATAGATTGCCTCATTTCATCTGCACGGCGGATTTGGGTGTCATCTGGCCCTTTGACAGAGGTGAGCATTAAGGGTCAGGGAGGTTACCCAGGTAAGGCAGGATAACAGCTAGAATTCAAACCCTACTTCCTCTTCCCACACTTCCAGAACTTTCCATCCTTCCAAGCCCCATTCGGGGTTTGCCACCCGCGTTTTAGGTTTCCCTCGCTGTCATTCCTCTCTCCTCTCACTCTTCCCATTGTGCCTGAGGTGGCAGCTGCTTCAACTGTTTATTTCAGGTGGCAATCAAGATCGGTAAGACTGCTATCATGGGGCTGAGCTAAGGGAGTTTAAATATGTCATTACTGTAAGTGGAGTGGGTGCAGAATGACACACCGAGAACTTTAAATAACTCAAATTGGAGGTTTGTAAACCCTTTTGTGCTTTTCACCCACCTTCCTCCCAGAAACTTACCCCCACCCCCCTGGTTAGGGATGCCATTACTTGTTTATATTTAAGATGAGATTATGAAGTGTGGCCATTGGCATAAGGGTTCTGCTCACTTGGATGGCCATCCTTGCCCCTTTGGATAGCTGTTCTGATGCTGTCATTAGAGGAAGGTAAGGTAGAAGTATTCCAGGCTCTCGTGCTGGGCCTGACCATGCAGTGACCCCACTGTGACCCCTCAACAGGCCACGTCTTTCCTGGCCTCGCTTTCTCCTCTAAGGGAAGGAATTGGAAAAGGTTGTAAAGGGTCAGATAGGAAATGTTTTTGACTTTATGGAGCGTATGGTCTACATCATAACTGTTTGCTTTTGTATGGAGGAAGCAGCTATGGCATAGCCATAATTAGATGTGGCTGTGTTCCAATAAAACTTTATTTATAAATACAGGTGGTGGGCCACATTTGTCCTGTGGGCCATGATTTGCCAGCCCTTGGACTAGGTTATTCCTAAGGTTGGTTTCAAGCTTGCAAATTCAATAATCTAGAAAGTACGTTTAAACGTACAGGAGCACCTGGGTGGCTCAGTTGGTTCGGCGTCTACGTTTTGCTCAGGTCATGATCCCAGGGTCCTGGGATTGAGCCCCACATCAGGCTCTCTGCTCAGCAGGGAATCTGCTTTTCCCTCTCCCTCTGCCCCTCCCCCTGCTCATACATGGTTTCTCTCTCTCTGTCTCTCTCAAATAAAATGTTCAAAAAAAAAAAAATACAAACGTATATAGGTGGATAGATGGATAGATGGGTACCGAAGGTATCCATAGACTGTAACCAAAACAAGGTATTATCAATAGTAGTAGGCATGATATAATAAGTGAAACCGTCCTAACAGTGGTAGAGTTAGTTTCTGGACTGCATGATGCTGGAACAGCGAAGGGATTCTCTATTTGGAAAAAGCTGCTATTTATAAACCAGAATCTTCATCCTATGAGTAAGATCCAGGGACCCGTAGAGTATTTCTAACTCCTTATTCCACGTGCTAGATCTGAGTTAATGAAGAGTCAGACTTCATGAAGTTCAGATTTTACTATGCAGATTCTTTGGCTGTGAGTTGGGTGTTTCTGACTTGGAGGGATGTGTGCTTTGTGCTGAGCTCTTTGATGCATTTTAAAGTCCGATTCTCAGGACCATCAAGCAGGATGGGTGGACTATCATGTAGATGACCGGACTGATGCGGAGAAAGGTCCTGAGTCGTCCGAGATCATGATACAATCCCATGCTGGGGAGGGCCCAGACAGTCGTTCATTTTTGTACCATCAGGCCTCTTTTCACTGTTTATAAAAACCTCATCTCCTACTTCACCACGTAGCAGCCCCTGCACTCCTAGGGAGCCGGTTTTGTTCATTTGTCAAGAATGTCGATGTGCAGGAATTTATTTTCGCGCGTCAGGTTCCCTAGCGGACGTTATCTGTGCTCCCAATTTTCATACGTCCAGGAATGATGTACGCAGACCATTCCAGAAAGTGGCACGTGAGTGATGCCCTGGTCGGCACGTACAGACCCAGACAACCGGTTGGAGG